TGGCAGTGGCTTTGGTCAGTGGGTTACAAGACCAAATGGTCAAAATATTCCCCAAAAGCGAAGGTGAGAAGGGAAAGAGGGGCAGGGAAGCTAGATCAATGGAAACACTACAAATGGAATGGAAATGATGGGAATGCTGACACACTGCAAAAATTATAACCTGTGTTATAATCTGTACAAAAATTGTTAAGTGGAAACCTAATTTGTTGTTGTATAAACTTTCACCTTAAACACGATTATTTTATTTTATTTAAAAAAAAAAAGAGTACCTCTGTGTTTCAGCTGGATACACACATGGCCAGGATCCAGACAACATTTCCTAGACTTCTCTACATCTATGTATGCCCACGCAACTAAGATCCAGTGAATGAGCCAAAACTCCACGAGCCATGTGGCAATTTCTGGGAACGTTCCTTAAAAGACAACTGGTGTGGACCTTTCATCTCTGTCCTTTCCTCCATCCTGCTGTCTGGAGTGTGAATGTGATGACTGGAGTTCTAGTTGACATCTTGGACCCTAAGGACAAGGGTCCTACCTTAGGAAGGGTGAAACCATAAGCTGGGAAAAGTCAGAGTCCTTAAGGACTTAGCACAGTAGAACCATGATATGAGCCTGGATTGATGTGGGAGAGAAGTTTCTACCTAGTTTGAGCCACTCTTGAGTCTCTTATATTAATGCTCTAATGATGGGTTATACTCTCCACACCTTAGTGTGATCATCAGGAGTCCCTGGATGGCACAAATGGTTAAGCACTCAACTCCTAGTTAAAAGGTTGGTGGTTCGACCCCACTCAGTGGTGCCTCAGAAGATAGGCCTGGTGGTCTGTTTCCGAAAGGTCATAGCCCTGAAAACCCTTGTAGAGCAGTTTTATTCTGCACACGTGGGGTCACCATGAATCAGAATCAACTTGAAGGCAGCCAAAAACAGCAATGCAATTGTCTGTATACCACGGTTTCCCCTGCAAGCCTGGGAGCCTCAGGTCAGGGACTAGGTGCCAGTGTCTGCCCAGTGTCAGGCACACTAGTAGTTGCTTGATTAAATGTTTACTGAAGGAGGCATGGTGAGCAATTGCATGAACAAGGATAGTAATGTTCATGGAGTCTTTACCATGAGTGGCCACCCTTCTCTATGCTTCAAATGCATTAGCTGACTTCATCCTCGCCAGAGTCCAACAGGGAAACCAAGGCAGTGAAGAGGTTCAAAGACTTGCTCAAGGTCACCAGCTGTTGAGTGACTGAGCTGGAACCTGAACCCCAGTCTGCCACAGTCCCTGGCCCCTGAGTTTTCCACATCAGCCCCTTCTTTGTGCTGTGCTCCCAGGTGGAGGTAGAATTTTCAAGCTATGCCCTGAGAGGTCTTTGTCTGCATGGACCTTTCCCAGGAGCAAGGTGAAACATGGAGGATATTGCATTCATTTTTTGTATTCCTCTCACCCTCTCACTACTAGTTTTTACTAACTTTCTCTTCTGTTTTTCTCTCTTCTCTTGAGCCTTCTTATATCCATGAGATGAACCATTCATGTAAGAAAAATTCAGAAGGAACCTCACAAATGCAGAAGGTTACGAAAGGTACAGTGGCTACCAAAATGGGCCATGAAGGCTTCTGACTTTCTTACTGTCTCAAAACCTCTAGTCCCTCAGGTGTGTTTGAACGTAACATCACCACCCTAGTTTCCACAGGTGGTTCCAGCGTGAGCCTTGGTACCAAGGGCTGAGGGGGTGCAGTTGTCCTTACAGTTCAACAAGTACTGATTACGTTCTGCTTTGGTGATGATGAGTTCAGCACAGGACTCAGATCTGTAGGGAAGAGAGGCTATTGGGACTGGGAGAAAATATATTTACGACATGATTCCTGTTCTCCTCCCCCACCAGACACCAGCATTTATTGAAGTAGAAGCTCTTTAAGTATCATTCAAGGCAGTTCACACATGTCATCAATATTCTAAAAAAATTCAACTATGCTCTCTTTTGAGGGCAATATGGAGACTCAGTTGTTGTTGTTATATGCTGTTGAATCGCACCCGACTCATAGCGACCCCTCCTTGGGTTTCTGAGGTGGTATCACTATGGAAGTAGATTGCCCAACCTTCCTTCCGAGGAGTGTCTAGTGGGTTTGAACCACCAGCCTTCTGGTTAGCAGTCAAGCGCCTTAGGCACTACACCACCAGAGCTCATATGGAGACTCAGAAGTTAGTAACTTCCCCAGAGTTTCCCAGTGGTATGAGGCACAGCTGGAAGTGGAATTTAGAAGTCCACTCTGCCTCCCTTCCTAGTGCCTCCTGCGGCCGGTCAGGCATGGTACCTCCATCTGTTAACTAGTGTTCCAAGCCCCTGTACTTCCTAGATACCAGCACAGATTCCTGCTCTTTGTGGAGAGAGAGATTCCAGAAGAGGTAAAGGTCTCACCATTGGCCTCCGTGTCATCCACACGAAAGTCTAGGACTGTCCTTAACATCTTGAGACCTGTCCAATCACGTACGCTGTCCTCTTCAGTCTGCCTCCCCCAGGTTCCTCAGAGTTGACCCTTCTCCTTGTCCACACTGTTTTAAAAGCTACTACTTGCTCCACCCATGTATAACCTCACTGAATCCTCACAGCAGCTCTCTGAGGTTGTTGGTGGTGTTAGTTGCTATCAGTTAGCTCCGACTCTTGGAGACCTTGTGTGTATCAGAACGCAACGTTGCCTGGTCCTGGGCTGTCTTCATCACGGCTGTGTTTGGGTCCATTGCTGTGGCCATCTTGTCAGTCCATCTCATGAAGGCTTTCCCTGGTTTTCACTGACCTCTACTTTACCAAACATGAGGTCCTTTTAAAGCAACTGGACGAGTAGGTACTATTTATAACCCCCATTTTACAAATGGAGAAAATGAGGCACAGATATCTTCCCCAAGATCGTGTAGCTACTAATGGTGGGTCCGGGACTCAGACTCAGGGCAGTCAGGCAGAACCCACAGCAAACCACTATCCATGGAGTCGTTGTCCAAACCTCCCTCTTCTCTCTGTCTTCAGACTGACCCCAACACACACTTCTGTCCTTCCCTTTATCTTTCCTTCTTTCTGCTTTCAGAGTAATCTTCCAAGACACAATTCCTCTGGTCCCAGAGAAGGACTTCCCTCCCTCCAAATCTTAGGTGCCTATCTAGCCATCGCCACTGCTCTTGCTGATGCTACCATCACAGGATTGCAGCTTCAGGAAGCGGGGTTGCTGAGGGGCATGGGTGGGAGGGAAAACAAAATAGGATTTCCCCCAGTCTTGTCCCATGGGAGGTCTTCCTTCCCATTCCTTGGTCCACAAGGACAGGGCTTCTGTTGGTCTCTTTCTGGCTGTGCCTGGTGCTAAGTTCTGGGATTCGTGTTGCCTTTGGGTTTAGCCTGGGAGATACAAAACCAAACCAAACTTAATGCCATCAAGTCGGATCCGACTCGTAGCGACCCTTCCTTGGGTTTCCAAGGTGGTATCACTACGGAGGTAGATTGCCCATCCTTTCTTCTGAGGAGTGGCTGGTGGGTTTGAACCACCAGCCTTCTAGTTAGCAGTCAAGTGCCTTAGGCACTACACCACCAGAGCTCCTCCTGAGAGATACAGGAGGAGAACAATCCAGGAAACTCACTGCCAATGATTTGTATTTTGAATTCTGGTTTTCTTCCTCAATTTACCTGTTCCCATTTACTTTTCAGAGCCCTCAAATAGTGACTCTATGTAGTCTGTCCAGGAGGCTTCAGCTGCATTCACTGGGAGACAGGGTGGAATGTGCTTACTCCATCTTAACCGGGACTGGACCGCTGAGAGAGTCCTCTTGCTCTTTCTTTTATTTTTCACTCCCTTCTCTTTTTTAAAAAGCTATATATATGTATTTTTATTGTCATGGTTCTCAAGCAGGGGCGATTTTCCCCCCAGTGGATGGTTAGTAGTGTCTGGAGACATTTTTGATCGTCACTTCTAAGTGATCGTTTGCTAGTGGCAATTAGTGAGTAGAGATCAGAGATACTGCTAAACATCCTACAATGCACAGGACATCCTCCCACAACAAAAATGATATTATAATCTCCTTCCACTTCCTTTATCACAGGCCTCTTGGTAAATTGCCTTAGTTTTTGTTTTTCTATAAATGTCTTTATTTCATCTTTATCTCTTGAAATATAGTTTTGCTAGGTACCCAAATCTAGCTTGACAGTTATTTTCTCTCAAAACTTTTGTGATACTATTCCACTGTCTTCTGTCTTCCATTGTTGCTGTGGAGAACTCTGCTGTCATTCTAATTGCTATCCATTTATAAGTGATCTGTTGTTTTCTGTTTGTCTTTAACATCTTCCCTGTTAACCCTTTCTTTTAAGTAACCATACTTTTATCTAAAGAAAAGAGTTGGATCTTTTTTATTTTTTATTTTTTTAATACACCACCCCTCCTGATATTGCTCAGCATTTCAAAAGCCTTTAGATCTCTCCTCTTTGTTCTTTGTTTATACTGTATCCTGCAGATAATTCTATCATGGCACCTGAGTCAGTGTTACACTTACTGCATATATGTCTTTTTCTCTTACTAAACTGTGAGTTCCCTGAAGATAGTCTATTTCCAGCACCTAGCATGGGCCTAGCACATAGCAGATGTTTAGTAAATATTTGTGGATGGATGAATACATACATGGATGGATGAATGGCCAGATAGGAGGATGGACAGATAAATAAGTAAAATGGGCAAACATGGCTACAAGTGTATGTCTGGTTAAAATGCAAGTGATAGTGCATGAATTTACCTGTACTAGTTCTGGTGGCATAGTGCCTATGGCATTTGACTGCTAACCAGAAGGCTGGCAGTTCAAACCCACCAGCCACTCCTCAGAAGGAAGGTTGGGCAATCTACTTCCGTAGAGATACCACCTCAGAAACCCAAGGAGGGGTCACTATGAGTTGGATCCAATTTGACAGCAGTGAGTTTGGTTTTTTTGTTTGTTTGTTTGTTTTAGGAAGATGAGATCTATCTTACGCTCTTTCCCATCACAGCTGAAAAGCTCCAATTATCTTGTATTTATTTCTGCTAATATTCTATTGACAGAGCGTCACTCTCACACACTGCTCTTGAAGAAAGGTACAAGTCAAGTCAACAGAGTATCAGAAGCAAGCTACCATGAGGCTATGTTACGTAAAAAGGTGAGCACCTGATAGGAAACTTAACAGTAGAAGTGATTTAAAACTCTACCGCAGTCTGGGGGATGTGGCTAGAAAAGCTAGCTCTGTGACGATGTCAGGGTAAGAACTGAGGTGTTTTCTGATAGTAGGTGCAAGGTGATACAGTCAAGCAATCTCCCAAGAGTAATTCCTGACTAAGGTCAGTACAAGTTCAGAGAGAATTTTGTCTGGATTTCTTCAGGGGTTTAAATTGCCTGCTTGAAACTCAGAAGCTGGGATGTAATGGAGAGAGAAGGGGAGAACTGCCAGCTTTTGTTGCTCAAATTTCTTCATTCTTCTGATCCTCAGTTTCCCACTCTATAAAATGAGGAAAATAATTCCCAGGACATGGGTTTTTAAAACATGTTGTTTTTTTTTTTTAATTATTGTGATTTGGGTGAAGATTTACAGAGCAAATTCACTTTCCATACAGCAGTTCACATATACTTTGTCTCATGTCATTGACCACAGTTTACCACAATG